CAGAGAAGGAAACTGAGGAGCAGGCGAAAGGCCATTTTAAAAAAATAAGCCTCTTGGTCTTGGCAGCCTCTTGCGTAGCAGCAAGAAGCACAGGATCTGATGGTCTGTGTGTTGGGGAGGAGGTGGGCCGGACCTCATTAGATGAAACTGGAGAGTTTGTAGAAGGGAGAGATGTTCCAGGATTTGTCTACTACAGCAGCCTTGGCATGGGAACAGTTGAGCGCTCCAAGAGTAGAGTGCTTGAATTTACAGTTCTGTCCATTTATGGCTAGTGACCATCCTACTAGACAGCCATGTACAGATCATACAAAATAGAATGTTATTCCATTTAAAAACTCCACCCACAGTGTAGTGGTCTGGAAACACAAGCCCTGGCCGAAGCTTAAAAGATAGAAGCCCTCCCAGCCCGGAGGGTATGTGAGGGTCCGTGGCAACCTCCAGTTCTTACACCTAAGTGGATTAACTCATTTCTAAACTGTTTAAGTGTCTGTTGATGTGGGGAAACTGTTATACTTCAGGCCAGATGCTGGGGTCCTTGAGAGCCGGCAAAGCTTCTCAATGTTGTTTTCAAAAAATTTCCGATGAAGTTTCACATCTAGCTCCTATCGATTGCATCTGATGGCTTTTAGCTCCAGAGTACAGAAGCTTCTTAGATGGACCGCTAGACGCTCAGTACTGGGAGCCACCCCACTGCCCCATGGAATGCTCCTGAACCCTCACCTGCAGAGCTCCCCTGGCCACTCTCAGATGAGCTGCTTCTCCTCAGGAGCTCAGAGGACTGGCTGTGGGGCCTGAAGCTGCAGGGCTCATCATAGTCACACGCCTGGGTCCCAGGAGCCAGCCTTGTAATAAGCAGCTAAAGGCAAGGTCTCAAAAACACAGAGCTGTATTTCAAAGCATGTGTTTACCAGAACCGAGGGCACCTTGATTCAGAAAAGGGCCCGGTGACTCACAGCAGTTGGCTTTCCCCTATCTGGGCTTCAGTGTCCCCATCCGAGAAGAAAGGCTTGACCTGGATCAGAAGCGTGAACCACAGAGGACCAGATGAGTGCTTAACACCAAAGACAGCTGTCGGTTAGGGTTGCCTTTGCAGTGACGAGCTGCTCTTGCCTGCTGAGAAAGGGGGATGTTCTGTTCTGCTGAGCAGCCGCCCACCCCGGCATCCAGGCTGCCCTCACCAGCCCTCTCCATCGCTCTGCCTGCCTCTGCAGTGCGGCCCTGCTCAGCATTCCTGGCAGGACCCGCTCACCCTGGCTGGACCTCGAGGCCCTGCCAGCAGTCCGGGGAACAAGCTGTGCTGGATGGTCTGAGCGGAGGGGCCCGCCCGATGTGCCGGGATTAAGTGGCCCCGCCTCAAGGCACATGGCTCTGTACAGTTAGGGAGAAGTAGGACAGGCAGCAGGTGACTGGCCTTCGGCAGACGTCTACACAAGGCGTTTGGATTTTTGTCCTATTTCTTCAGGGCCGTGATCAGCTGCCAGTTCTTTGCTTTCCAGTTCCAAGGATGCCACTGCCCTTGTATGTGTGTGACAGTGTCTCACTCTGTAATCCAGGCAGGGCTTGAACTCACAGTGTAGCCCAGGCTGCCACTGAACTCTCAGTCCTCCTTCCTCAGCCTCCCAAGCGCTAGGATGACGTGCATGTGCCGCTATGCCTGGCTCCACCTGTGTCGTCGTATAGGTAGCCAGTTTCCCCCTTCTCATGACCCCCATGGGCACTTGAGTTCAGCGCGGATCATCACGAGTCTTGCTCGTTCTGCTCTGGGACCAGCACTGTGCCAGCTGCCAGGGAGGAATGCAGCAGAGGCCATGTATGTCCTGCCCCCCCCCCCGTCTCCTCCTCCCACTGCAGCTTGGAGGCCGCAGAAAGTGTGCCAGTGGAGATGAGGCAGGGACACTGGAGGGATGGTGGTGACATACTCTGAGGTCACCTGATGAAAAGCACTAAAAGTGCTAAGTGGCAGCATTCGTTTTTCTAGAAACCAGTGTTACAGGGTGGGAGAACCATGACACAGGGTCACTCTGCTGACCCTGTGTTGGAAGGACAGTTGGGAGTTTCAGGTCACTGGAAAACATCCAGATGTTAAAGGGGAAATGTGTCTGAAAATCTGTCTACATGCTCCTTGACTTTAGACAGGATTACATCCAGCCAAACCCATCCTGCCAAAAGTTGGAAATACGGGAAGTCAAAAAAGCACTCAACCCACTCCCCTACCAAACCTATTTGAGTAGCACAGTGCCCTGAAGAAGTCAGGCAGTCCTCCATCAACCTAGGTGCCACTGCCTGGCATCCTAGGAAAGAACTGTGCCGCATACCACCAGCCCTGGAAAAGATCTGACATTCAAAATGCAAAGTATGGTTTCTACTGAACTTCGTTTTTTTGAGACAGGGTTTCACTATATAGTTCAAGCTGGCCTTGAACTCACTATGTAGCCCAGGCTGGCCTTGAACTTGAGGCGGTCCTGCCTCACCCTCCCGAGTGATGGGATTACAGGTGTGCACCACCATGCACGGCTTTTACTGAAGGCATATCACCTTCACATCAAAAATTAAACTGCTAGTCAGGGACTTGACTATGTTAAGTGAATATTTTAATGAATACTGCATACAAAAAAGTGTGCAACCAATTTCCATGAAGTGACTCTATACCCAGGACCAGGTCAAGAAATGAATTCTCAGCCCCACTGTTACCACCCCTCCTTCAGGCCAGAATCCCCACACCCTGGCACAGAGGTGCCCTCAGAATTGCCCGCTGTCAGGGTGGATGTTGTATATGGTTCTTTTGGGTTTCTGGTTTGGGGTATTAGCACAAAGCTGCCTGTAGCACCCTGGCATCTTGGGAGCCGCATGTGCGGGCCTGCTTGTTCATCCTGGGAGTGGGACTGCTGGCCCCAGGGCGCGTGAGTGGCAGTGAGGGTTGGGGTTTGCCCCAGCACTTGAATGGCCTCAGATTGTCTTAAAAGTTACTTTTTGCTTCCCCCTTCATAGAAGTTGTTGCTTTTTGTTTTGTTTTTGAGACAAAGTCTTCTCTGGGCGGGGAAGTAGCCTCAGTGGCACAGTGCCTGCCTGGCAAGCGCAAGGTGCCGAGTTTGATTTCCAGTACAAAAAAAAAAGTCTTGCTATGTAGCCCAGGCTGGCCTCAAACTCTCAGTCTTCCTGTCCTGGCCTCCCCAGTGCTGGGATTATAGACATGTGTCGCCACTCAACCAGTTGTTGCTTTTGCCACGTTACTTTCAAAGATTCCCTATGATCACTTTTCTCAGATGCCATGAGCTGAGCACCCAGATGCCACAGCTTATTAAAATGTGGCTGAACTTGTTTTAAAGTTCACATAGGCCAGGAAGAGACAGTTGGCCCATGGGGATCCCTGGGTGGAGGTGGCTCCTGGTTCCCAGTGAGAAAGGCAGGGCACTCCTTGTGACGGCCACACAGGGAGGGGTCAGCGCCTTTCTCCAAGAAAGGGCAGAAGGAAGGCGGTTTCCAGGGGGATGCGGCAGCCAGGGCAGACGGCTGGGTGAGCCAGGCTTGAAGTGATGTGTGAGTGCCTGGGGCAGACACGCTGCCCTTGCTGAGCGCTCAGCCACTGAGGCTCCTTCCAGTGCCAGGCTGCTGCTCTGGCTTTGTGCTCCAGGCAGTTAACAGGCCTCCTAGTGTATTTTCAAGATAAATAATTAGCCCTTAATCACATTATGATATAAAAATTACACCAGAAACTTCTTCTGGCCCTGCTCAGGAAGCTCAGAAACAAATCATTTTTGAAACAATGTATGTTGTAGAAACAAATCATTTTTCCCAGCCCTGTTAGGATGTCCTGAGTAGGGGAGTTGCTTTGCCCTCCGATGAAAACTAGGCAAGAGTTCGGCGCTCTGCAGCCCGGCCCTGGGGACCCTGTGGTAAGGGCACAGTTCAAGCGCCCCCACTTGTCTCTGGCTGTGGAAGTGTGTGCATTGGACATTCAGCAGACACCATCACAAAGGTGTCTTTGCCCTGGCTTTCCTTCATCCTCAGGGTTTAGTTTGCCTGTGCCCGACTACTGGGAGCTTTCTGGGACTTCAGGACAGCCTAGTGGCATGACACTGCCCCCTGCTGGGTGGCTACGAGAATTAGCTCCACACACTGAGGCAGTGACTTGCTAAAAGGAACAGCAGGGAAGATTTTGAAAGACTGCAAGCTTTCGGGAATGAAGGAAAGAGGGTGCCCCTGAGCCAGCTGTGCATCTTGGTGTGTGACACGTGCAAGGCTGCCTTCCTCTGGAGCCCCGGGAGTGGAGGCCTGGCAGAGCTCCATGAAGGGCAGTGCCTGAGCTTAGCTGCCATGTGTATGTTTTGTTTTTTTTTTAAACTTTCTACAAGATCTGTCCCTGGCAATTGCAATCAGCCCCCTAACCAGCAAGGTTTTATTTTTACTGGGTTTTTTTTTTTTTTTTCTTTTCATTCAGGATTTGGCTCCCAAGAAGCAAAGTGCAATGGCTATAGCTCTACAAGAGCCTCAGAGTCTGTTTCCCTGAAATCTAAGGTGTTCTGTTAACAGGTGTTTTCTTCTGTACTGGAGCGCTTGTGCACAGTCTGATCCTCAAGGGTCTGCGTTTCCTGTGCTTCGGCGATGATGGGCTCGTCGGCGCCAAGTGCTGGGGGTCACAGGCAGATCCGTACAGCCCGTTCTGACACATGCAACCTGGAACACTGCCTTCTTCCCCTTACTCTTCCAAGCGAACTTAGGACACCTAGGCAGTCTCAAAACCTGTGCTTATGCTTTCCATGTCTTTACCCACCTGATTTAAAACTCCGTATGTAGCCGGTGTGGTGACGCACACCTGTAATCCCAGCACTCAGGAGGCTGAGGCAGGAGGATCGTTGTGAGTTTGAGGCCAGCCTGGGCTACAAAGTGAGCTCAAGGCCAGCTGAAACTACATAGAGAGACCCTGTCTCAAAAAAAAAAAAAAAGACTAAAACTCCCTATGTCAGGAGCCTTCCATAAACAACTTCTTTTTCTTTCCCCAGAGTGATGCAAATGGGACCGCCAAGCCGCCTTTCCTCAGGTACGCACACCTTGGGCAAGCAGCTCTCCTGAGCATGGTGCCTCCCTCCTGACAGGCGAATAGCCAGCAGTGTCCTCCATGGACCTGCAGCACCCAGCCCAGGAGGCTCAGCCTCAGCAAACCTTACTCTTGGAGTCCAGGAAAACTACGGCCACCTTTCTCTTGACCGCTTCAGTCATTCCGGGGACTAGGGCCTGGAAGAGACAGGACACCGTGGCACCTGCCTGGATCTGGGCCATCCTAGGAGGGCTCTGCCACATGGCCTTCTTCCCAGTAGAAGACTAAAGAGCTATGAGCTCTCAGGTGTCAGTTACTGGAAGCTTTGGGGTTGTGCCAAGCAAGGTGGCACACACGTGTAATCCCAGCACTGAGGCAGTCTGAGGCAGAAAGATCACAAGTTCAAGCCCACTATTTAGCAACTAAGACTCTGTCTCAAAATTTTAAAAGGGCTGTGTGATATAACTCAGTGCAAAGGCCTAAGGTTGGCCCCAGAACCAAAATTTTAAAAAGAAAAGACAACTCTGGAGGGGTCCCTAGGTGCTGGCATGGAGAGAACTGCCAGGGGCTCTTATACTTCAAAATGCCACCCAGAGATACACTGGGAAGACAGTGAACAACATGATTTCATAAAGCCAGAGCAGTAGTAATTAATATCAAATTCCTGTCTTGGAGCAGTATTTCTCTATAGATTTTTTTCTTTCTCTCTCCTGTAGTGGGGAAAACCCCTTTGCTACTGTGAAACTCCGACCCACAGTGACGAATGATCGATCAGCACCAATCATTTGATGAAGATGCCAAGGATTCTCCTGGTTCCTCTACTGTTCAGTTCTCGCCTGCAGAATGATAGGTATCCATTGTGTGACAAGTTCTGGGACTGTTGGAAGCTTCACCAGAAGGTGCCTGATTTTCAGTGTATCCTACTTGAGCAAATCAATGCATTTCTCAATTAACACAGTTGAGCTTACACATTTCTGTAAAAATAAATAATAGTTTAGTGGCCAGCTCAATCATTTAAAATATTTTCTTCCTGCTCTATCTAAAAATAGTAAATTTGGTTCCAATCCCTAGTGTATCTGTTTTTAATATTCTGATTTTTTTTTTTTTAAATTGCAGCTAGAATAAGATAGTCGGTGTTTTCATGACTGGCTTTCTGCATCTGAATGCAAATGAGACCAGTTCTATTTTATAAAGCATGTGCTCTTAAGTAGCATTATGTTTATCCAAAGAAAATATTGTATAAGTTTGCATCTTAGCATGCAAATCATAATTTTAAGCAATATAAATTATGAAAAAATATATTAAATATAATTTTTTAACTTACAAATTTTAAACTCTTGATTAAACATAGAGCTCCCAAGATAGACAGGTGGTCACGACCACCCCGATTTAGACAGAGCCGAGGGCTGAGTTCTGAGACATTTTGCCTGCCATTCTCATAGCCATACTTAACATTCTGTGTTAAGAGTTACAAGCTGGCTTCCCGGTGGCCTAGCACATTGGAAATATGCTCTCCCTGAACTAGCAGACCAAAGCTGCAGCTGCTGACTTACTGGGAAACCTCTGGTGGTCCAAGTTCGTGTGTGTGAATCAGGTACTAACTCTCAAAGCCAAGTAATAAAGCCAGAATGACTCCAGTGACCCTGAAGGGCAGAGCCGGTATTTCAGCTTGAAATCACATGGAGGACTCCGGGTAGGCCTCTGTACCCAGGGGCTGGAGTTCGTTCTTGGCTACCAAGGACCAAAAAATCAATCAAAATTCACACCCAGGCCACTCACTGGGTATAGGAGAAGGGGCTGTTGCTTATCATGATCTCATCACTTCTGAGTATTTTTCTGTAAGTTAAAAGTTGGTCATGGTTTCAGTAATGGCAGTAAACTGGTAAACATGAGACTTCAAGCACCGCTGGGCTCTCCTGGGAGGACAAAGCAGGCGCCCCCATGAAGAGCTGCTGCAGGATGAGATCATGCCCTCCCTGTCATGCAGCACTACCTTGAAAGGTGCCCCAGCCAAGTTTCAAATTCACATGGGTGGCCCCACCATTTCCAAAACACAAGAGCAGAGTTAACGGCAGCCCATTGTTTTCAGCAGTGAACAAGTGAGGGGCAGGTTTCGGAAGTGTGTGAAGCCCAGAGAACATGGGTGAGATCTCCTGGCTTTGTTACAGGGGTGCAGGAAAAGGCCCCAGGACCACTTGCTGCAGGAGGGTGGGGGGGGGGGGCACTGGGCCTGAGGTGCCTACCCTGAGGCGCATGCTCTGCAGCTGTCACAGTTTATGGTTCAATGTCGGTAATAAAGGGGAATTGGAAACTATGTTCTTGAGCTCGGTGCCAACTGAGGAGCACACAGCCGCCCAACTGGTCTGCGTGGGTCAAACTTGCCTCGTAAGGGTCCACACAGCAGTGGGCAAACGCTGAACAAGCACAAGCAGCTGAACAGTGGTATGAATCTCATTTATTTAAAACAGTATTTCTCACCTTTCTCAAATTGAAGACTGCAAAAAAATAAAAGCAATGTTTTCTCGAGCTGTCGTTCACCTGGAGAGCAGTGTTGCTGCCTCCCACCCTCTGCGAGGCCTAAGCTGGCACATGCCAAAGCTATCCCACCTCACTTTACAAAACAGTCCTGAAGCTTAGTCAAATAAAACTACTGTACACAACATTTACATTAGAAAAGAGAGCTGGCCCTCAGAAAGCCAAGTGTGTTCTTTTAAGTGAAGGTCGCGCCACAGTTGGGACATCTCCGCTTCCTCAAGGCAAAGCAGCAGATGAACCCAAAGGGAAACAAGATGATGGCCAGGAAGATGCCCAGGAAGGTGAAGCAGTCCTCCAGAACGCCGACTCTGTGGAGAGAGGAGGCATGAAGGTTACCCCGCACACACCCACAGCTGCGAGCTACCCAGAACAGCTGGTGACCTACAGGAATGCCGGCCTGGGAGAGGCAGCCCCACCCCACCCCAGGCCAGTGCAGTGCACAAGAATCCATGCTTCCTCTGACGTGAGGAAAGTGACAGGAGGCAAACGCTAGTTTCCATAAAATTCCTCCAAGCTGCAAACAAGAGCCCCCCGCCCCAACCAAATCATTTAGAGTATTTTTTCTCCTTTTGAAGTTTTAAATTCTTTTCCATGCCTGAGGAAAATGCCATCCAAAAGTGATTACGATCTAGGATTTTTTTTTTAGTACTAGGGACTGAACCCAAGGCCTTTGCACTTAGCTATATCCCCAGTTCCTCAAGGTCTTAAGTTGCCTGGACTCAAATTTGTGATCCTCCTGCTTCAGGCTCCCAGAGTGTGGTTCTTTTGTTTTTTGTTTTAAATTGGTGGTAGGGTGAGCAAAAGACTTAAATCAGCCATGTTCATACAATGTCAGAAGACTTCTTAAGAAATTTAATCTCAGGGATGCTGCTTCATAGAAAATCTACCTTCTGTGCGTGGGACACACGTCCCACTGAACAGTTTCAGTGACCTGAGGTCATCACTCAGCCAAGGGTCTTTTCAGAGGCTCCAAAGATAGGAAGCCCGAGCCCCATAAAGGTCACACATGTAAATAGCTCCTCGGGCCATTTCTGGAGCTTTCTGGACCCAGAGCTGAAATTAAAATGAGAACCACATAAGCACAAATGAGGAAAGTGTCCCTCCCACCAGAAAGATTCTAATGGGTTATTCCAGGCTTCAGTGCTCACATGGGACTGGGCCCTGTGCTCAGGCTCTTCCTTCACGGGGGAAATGCCTCTGGGGAATGCAAGGACAGAAGGAAGAGGGCAGAGATGACAACATGGGACTGGAGGTTTGACATCTGAGCCAGTCCTGAAGGGGGAAAGGGTGAGGTAGAGATGGTCACAAGAGAAAGGGGAGCAGGGGCTCCAGGGACTCTGCACCTGCTGTGCACAGGGAAACCCAGTGAGTTCTCTGCTCAGGGGAGAGAATGGCCAGGGCCCCCACACGGCATCCCAGGCCCCTGATGTCTCTGGAGCAAGCAGCTTCCTTCTCCATCAGCGCTGCCTGCCCCCCGACAGTCTGTAACTGTCCCTTCTTCCCACCCAGGCCTGCAAGCAACTGCGGCTCCTCCTCCCACCTTATGTAGCGAGAAGGAAGGTCACAACTTAAAAGATCAAGTGTAAAGGTGAACGGAGGGCAGCAGGCTGGTGGTGGCCTTTCTTGCCAACCCCTGCTGGGCAAGGCTGGGGTGCCCCACACAGCCCAAACAAGATGCCGTGTGAGCCTGCACGCTGTGGCAGGCTGCTGACCAGGACCAGGACCAGGACCAGGACCAGGACCTGTGCTGCTCCCTGCCCTTGGGGGAGAACAGAGGTGTGATGAAATAAACAAGGATATTCCAAGTCTTGATTTTCAACTGCTAAGAACAACTCAGACCCAGTGCCTGCCTGCTGCCTCCAACCCATCCAGAGCTGCCCAAACAAACCCGCAATGGACAAGAAATTCCAGCAGCATTTTCCTTATCACCTGACCCCAAAAGCTCTGCAGAAGGAGGGTTTCTGGTCAGGCAAGCTGAGGACAGTTTCTCTTCTGGGAGTATAGTGTCCATTCACCCACAGGCTCTGTACCCCAGGTGAAAACTTCCACACAGCCGCGCTGTACCCCAACTCCTTTGAGTGTCACCCTGATGGGCTGGGACACAGGTATCCCTGTGCTGAGGCAGTGCTTATCAAAAGCACTGAGTTTGCGCTGTCCAAGTTACCACTTAATGTTTGACTGTAACAAAAGCACCCTCTTCTAAGAACCACAAAGTCACCCAGCCCTGCCACCCCTGCAAGTCCAGACCAGGCAGGGCACTTCGCCCAGCACACCCTGCCCAGGCTCAGGGCCTCCTGACCAAGGGTCAGGCATAAACGGACAGGACGAGAGGCTAGAGAGTCAGTCTCGGGCCCCTTGGAACTCCTGGGCCTCATTCTGTTTCTTCCCAGCACCTGCATGACCACCTCCCTTCAGGTCAAGTCCCAAGAAACAGGTCTGCATGTTCCAGGCAGAAATGTCCCATGAGCTGGGCATGATGGTGCACACCTGTAATCCCAGCACTCTGGAAAGCTGAGGCAAGAGGATCACAAGTTTGAGCCCACCCTGAACAATTTATCAAGACCCTGTCTCAAAAATACTTAAAAGGCATTCAATCGCCAGTACTGTGGGGAGAGAAAGTCCTCATGAAAGTGCAAAAGACAAAACGGAATCAGCTGAGAAACTTTCCAAAGGAGAAGCCTGGCCTCTAAAGAGGTCCCAAAATCCCATACCTGCCCCACCACCCATGCAGTGTGTGAGGAAACCACAACCTCCAAGGCCCACAGAGGCGGGAGGACAGTGACAGACTGAGCCTCTGCCATGCTGGTCCTGGGAACCCGCAGAGGGAGGGGTGGAGCCCAGCTTCCGCTCCAAGGCTGCAAGAGGCTATACTGGGCCACTAGGGCCTCACTGCCCCAGACAGCTGTGGAAGCTCCACCAGGGTGTGGTGGGGCTGGGGCGGCTTCCCACGTTGCCTGTGTCTTGTCTGCAGGCACCATCCCCGCTGCGTGTATTGCTCTCCTCTGCGGTCAAGCGTTCAGGGGCAGCAGCCTCCACCTACCTCCTCCCTAGTTCTCCATGCAGACCCCAACCCTCATCTGCACTCTCTGGGCTCTCCCCACCAGCAGCCAGGGCACCAGCACCACTTGGCACTGTGGTTCCTGACAGAGCCAGGACACCTTCTGAGTTGGCCTCATGGCCACCAGACCCATCCTGGGGACCTGAAGAATAACAGATTGGCCCAACTGGCTGGCTTGGCTCTCTTCAGCCCACAGGCTCCCAGTCCAAACTCACCGTGTGCCCTGGCCAGAGCTCGGGGCCCGTGGCCTGTGCCACCCTCCGCTGGCCCCACAGGCACGAGTGCCAGGTTCAACACTGCAGGGCGCCTGCAGCCTCCCCACTTCACTGCCTGGTCCACTCGCCCATGTCCCTCAGCACAGCCCAGAACCCACGTTCCCTCACCCCGCCCACAACCCCGAGAGCACAACTTTCCCTAAGTTTACAGCAAACTACCTGGCAGCAGAGGGACCCGCACAATGATGTAGCTATTTATAGCCCTGACTTACCTTGCATAGTGAGAAGTATTAACTACAGTACCACCCCATCCTCAAAAGGAGTGGTGGCGTGATCTTGATTTTTAAAACCTGACACCTCATCTGAGAAACACAATCCAGCCTCTAGGCCAGTGTAGATTCACGGAGCTCCAGAGGGTCCTGCTTGGAGAGCCAGCAGGAGACCCGACGTGTCCCCAACAGCGTCTTCATCTCCAAACCCAAGAAAGCCAGCTCAGCCAGGACTCACCCCAACTCCGTCCACTGGCTCAGAACCTAAATGCAAACCTGGCAGGCCTGACTACGGGTGACAGGTCTTGGGGGCAGGGTATGGAAGCTGGAGAAATTATGGAACTAATATTCAAAATTCATCTTTAACTCAACTCAAGCCTCCCAGAGCCACTGGCCATTGGGTCCTCTGACGTGTGCCGAGCCAGGTGCTGGGAGGTTCCTGACACCTCACCAGGGACCACATGGGCAGAGGGAGGGAGGGAGGGAGGAGGAACAAGCTTTGAGCTGCTGGCAACCGGCAGCACTGGCAGGTCCCAGGGCCAACAGCCAGCCAGAAAGAATAGCCCTTGCCACTCCTGTGTCCCCAAAGCACTCCCACTCCCTAGGGACCTCGTCCCCACAAGAAGCTGAGGCTATGAAGTGGGAGTGGGGTGGCTGGGTCCAAATCCTGGCATTCTGTGGGAAAGACCCCACCCATAGGCCCAAGACCCCACCCCAGGCCACCAGCAGCCTCTCCCAAGAAGGGAAGACTCGCCCAGAGTCCACCCTGCTAAAGGACAGCATCTTCCCTCAGGAAGAGGGAGCAACCCCAGGGCTTCCTCTGCTGGCAGTAGCCCTGAAGCCACGGCTGGGACAGGGCTCGATAAGCCCCAGCCAGCCCCAGCCTACCAGGGTCTCCACTCCAAAAAGGACCCCCTAGTGGACACAACTAAACAGGGACAGTTCACTACGACCTTGGGAAAAACCACCTATCACTCGGAGGCAGTTCTCACCAGCCCACGCCGGGCACAGCCGAGACCTCCAAGCAGTAGAGGGCAGGAAGGCTGGCGTGCGGCAGGCTTCCTGGACACTTGGCCTGTGCCACTCCTCCAACCTGGGGTCCAGCAGCCATGGCTGGGAAGCTGAGCCAGAAAGCAGCACAAGCCTCCCTCGGTCTGCATACACCTCAAAGCCTGCAGCCCGGACAGTCCCCCCGAGGATCTGGGCTCACTCCCCCACCTCGGGCCAGGACCATCTCAGGCCGGGGAGGGCCCACTCTTCCAGCCTGTGCAGCCAGCTCCACTCTCCGGCCTGCCCAGAGCAAGGCTAGGGCTCGGCTCCCACTCGGGCAGAAAGAGCCCTTCCATTTCCCGACAATGGAAGAAGCGCAGGCCCTGCTGCCCACTGCTCATGAACCCCTCCAGATGCCTTTTTTGTCACCTCATGCCTCAGAAGCCTCCACATGGACGCCCAGTGCCTCTGGGCAGCATCTGACCCGGAGAGCTGCACTTTCTCTAGGTTTCCAAGACGCCGCTCTCCCCATATTTCCTCCTGCCTCTGGCCACACCCAGAGCTAAATCTCCAATGACTAGGACCCAGCCGGTACTTCTGAGGACCCTGCACCCGCGCCAGGCACGTTCCACTTGAGATCTGCACTCCCAAGGCCCCAGCCAGCCTCACCCACCCCTCAGGGCACGGTGGCCCCACCATGCTGGGGCTGCACAAGCTGCCCTTTCTCCCTGCAGGTAGGGACAGAAGGACCCAGTTGCAGAGGCCCAACATGTGCGTGGTCACAGCGCTGGCCAGGCAGCCCGAAGGGGCCTCCAGCAGCAGGGCAGGGTGCCATGCGGAGGACGGGCAGGAGCCAAGCACAAGACACTCATCTGCCGGGGGTGTAAGAAATGCTTATCGACAGCTAAAAAAGGAAGGTGGAGTCAGGCGCTTGACAGAGGCTCAGACAAGATGGCAAAGTGACAAGAGACACGGGGCTCTTATGCCAAGCTCGCTCAGAGGGAATCACAGAAGTGTGACTTGGGCAAATTCATGCTAAGCCACCAGGGAGGGAAGGCACAGAGCCCAGCAGGGGAAGTGTGGTCACGTGGGAAGTGTCCTGTCGCCCAGCCCTAGGACGCCCCGCAGGGGCCGGCTTCCCTCTTTTCAGGGGAACATCTCCACGCGGTCACCACAGAGGAGCAGCCCAAGGGCCGCACCCCTTTCCGGCTGTCTCCTCACCCAAGGCTGCTGCTACAGTGGTGGCAGAGCATGGCCTGAGGGAGCCAGGGGCCAGCAGCGGAGGGCACTGTGGGCAGAGGGCAGGGGCTCTGGGTGGGTAGGCCTCCAGGGGCCTGGAGGATCAAAGAGTGCTCTCTCTGGGTAGGGTATGGTCAGAGGCTGAGGCAGGGGGAATCCCGAAATCTGAACACAGCTCAGGTAACTTAGTGAGACACTGTTTCCAAAAACAGAAAAGCTGGGGCAGGGGGGTGCCCTGGAGATGTAGTTCCAAGGTTATGCCCAGTCCTCAAAAGGAGTAGTGCCAAAAGAGCTGTGTCCCAGCTTTGCGGGTAGGGGGCGGTACTGAGAATTGAACCCAGGGCCTTTACTCTGAGTGAGACACATCTCCAGCCTTTTACTTTGCAACAGGGCCTTGCTAAGTCACCCTAGCCTCAGCCTTCCAGAATGCTGGGGTTACCACCACACCTGACTTCTGGCACACTCCCCTCAAGGACTAGGCACCCCCAAACTTGTTCTCCAAGGACTCAGTGCCCTCTAGACTGCCCACCACTGCCCTGGGGCACAGAGGAAGCAGCCAGTTTCCAGATAAAAGCAGTGCTCCCACAAGAGTCCAAGACCCTCCCCTGAGAGCAGGACACAGCCCGACCTTGTTCCAGGTTCTGTGTGTATAACGGGGAAGCCCCCTAAGCAGAAGCCACAGGCCTCAGAGATGACACAACCCACCTCTATTGGACAGGGAAGTATCGGACAAAGGGCTCCCCACGCTGGCAGCAGCCCAACCTCCGCTGGCCCCATTGCCCTGCTGCTCGCCTCCCCTCCGCCAAGTTCAGGGGATGGAGCAGCGAAGAGCCTCAGACCATCTCATTAGATACCCCCATTTCCCAGACTGGGAAACAGAACCAGCTGCATCTGGCAGGGCCAGGATCTGATCCCAGCTCCTCTAGCTGACAGGCCCTTCGCTCAGGATGCCCAGGAAACCCCAGCCAGACTTCTCTGCTCTAGGCTTTTTTTTGTTAACTATACTGGGGATTAAATCCAAGGTCTTCACACTGAGCTGTATCCCCAGCCCTTACTTGCTTTTAAGAAAGGCTCTAAATTGCTAAAGTGCCCAGGCTGGGCTCAAACCTGTGATCCTCCTGCCTCAGCCTCCCAGAGTGCTAGGATTACAGGCCCCAGCACAGCCTGGTTACAGGCATCTTTCTGATCCTCCCTCTAGCGGGCCAAGCCAACACCTCTCCTAAACTTGGGAGATCATTCAACATGCTCCTTCCCAAAAGTGGGCCATCGGAATCTTCCAGCTGGGCTGAGTGGTGACACGACCCCACACACGGCAGGGCTCTGTGGGCCCAGGACTAGCCTCAAAGCTCAACACACAGGCTGTCCAACCCCCACCTGTGCACCCACCTTTCCAGGCCTTCCCACTGGCTTTGGCTGTCAGCACAGGGCACCGCATCTTAACCCTTCCTGCACTTCGCAGGACCACCTTCCAGGCTATGCCCCTCCCCTCTACCAAGTGCACCCCAGGTGCCTCAAACCAGCTGGCACCCCACGTGCAGCCTTGCAGACACCTGCACGAGAGGCAGCCAGCCCTCTTTTCCTTCCTCTTCTGGGTCTACAGAGGCCAGTGTGCCCACCGGTAAACCACCACTGCCCTGGCTGGGGGTCTGTACGGGGGTCCACCAGTGTTTGCACTGGCTAGACCACACCCCTCTTTACTAGGCACGGGGTCAGCTCGGGGTTCCAGTCTTACCCTCTCCTGATGCCATCCTCCCATACAGTTGCCTCCAGGGCTCTGAAATCATTAACTTCTGAGGGCTCCACTCTGGGCCTGACACATAAACTTCGGAAATGAGTCTAAGTCCAAACCAGGGCAGCAACTTCAACTTCCTCCTCCCCAGGGAGGGCTGAAACTCTGCCCTGTCAACTCTGGCCAGACCTCCCCAATCATCTGAGCACCCCCAAGTGCGAAGGGCACGGAGCAAGTCTCACCTGTACTTGAATCCCCAAGACCTACACAAACCGAGTCTAGGGCTGCACCTCGGGCTCCAGAAAAGCGATCCTCAGAAAGTTTCTTTCGGCTCCAGTTTGAGGATATGAAAAAAGCCACTCCAGTCCGGAACAAAGAACCACAGGGTTTCCTCCCGGGCCAGCTAGCAGCCACGGGTAACCTAAGCCTTGCTGGGATTCAGCGACCCTCACAGATGTAGCTCCTCTGGCCACCTGACCCCCCACCCCCAGCTCCTTCATAAACACAAGGGCCACCTGACTCAGGTCCCGGGCAAAACAGATCTTCCACCTCCTTCAGAAATCAACGGCACAGTGAACTTGCAGAAATTGAAAAGAGAAAAAAAACCGTGATTGCCCAGAAGCAAGAAGAAACGATTCGTCGGTCCCCATTGTTAGCATTTCTGCTTCCCGCTCACTCGGGGTGCAATGCCCCAAAATGCACTCAGATCCCCAGGAAAGCGAGCCAACCTCCTCGGCCCAAGTTACATCGAGAGCCCCGGGAGAGCGCGCGCGCCGCCTCCCTCACTGCAACCTGCAGCCAAGGCGTCCCCGGCGCGAAGGACCCACGCCGGGACCCCCACCCCGAGTTCCCCCTCGCGAGCACGCTGGGCCGCCCCGCGCTGGGACTCACCTGCACACCGGGCAGCCTCCGACGACGACGATGGAGTTGGCGGGGTACCGAGTGACCGTCCGACCATGGATGCTGTACACCCTGGGGTGCGGGGTGGGAATCCCTGTGGGGGAGGGGAGCACGTCAGCGCGCGGTGGGAGCAGCGCCCGCAGCAACCCGACCGCCACGCGGAGCGCCGCGGGGCTTCCGCGAGGTGCCGGCGCGCCCAGGCCGGG